GCGTCCATGCGGGAGGTCGGCTTGAGAGGATGTCCCCGATGGGTGCGATGTGTGCACATCCGCGCGTGTGGATAACCCTGCTGTTGTGCCGGTCCCTTTTTTTTTTGTTTCGTCTCCTCCGTTTGATCGTTTCCTATGTTTCTTTTCCTTTTCCCTTCTTCGCTTCTTCTCCTCTTTGCTTCTTTCCTTGTTCGCCTTTTTTTTTCTTCCGATGAGCATCCCCCCCGTAGTGCAGTATTAACCTGGGGAGTCCATTCAAGTGTGCGAGAGGGGGATTCAAATGTGCAGGGAATTTGGCGAGAAAAAAAAAAGAAGAAATTCGAGACAGGTATGCCATGCGGTTATGCCGCTCCACAGCTGTGCCGCTTCGCCCACCGGGGGAGAGACATTCTAGTAACATTTCATAAAAGGGGGGAAACAAAAAAAATCATTAATGAGCATTTAAGATGCTGCAATTAAAATTGCAACCTCTGGATGGTCAATAAGTGCGAATGGGTTAGGATTGACCATTTTTGAGGAACAGGAGGGTCTCCATTGGACATTGTTTTTTTTTTTTTTTTTTTTTCTACATTTTACTCCACTGCGACATTGGCTGTCGTGCAAGGGGGGAGGACAAGTGGCCTCACTGAGGGGAAGTACCTTATCAAACTCGTCTAACCGCTTTCCCCTTTGTGACGTCCGATGGACGCACTGACGGGGAGCTGTTCCTATGTCGGTCAAACCGTATAGATGATTACACATATGGGAGGCCTGACAGAAATGAGCGGATGAAGAACAACCCAAAGGTGTTGTTTCCTTTGTCAGTCTGTTCAGAAGGGGGAGGTGGAGAAATAGACAAAGGTCTGTCTCGTTTAACCACCCCATCCGTTAGGACCATTTATTTGAGAAGGTAACATATACCCCTCCAAGGGAGAACCATGGAGAAAGGGGAAAGCGAAAATAAGGGACCCCCCCTTGCCTCAGGTAAGCACCAACCGGACATAGTAACGCATGACCAAATTGCGAAACTCCATTTGTGCAGAAGGGGGCAAATGTTGAGTGAACATGGCAGGGTAACGGTGTAAACTTCCCTTCCAGTGGAGAGCTTTTTGGGATCCCCACAAATGGTACGAACATATGACGTCGCCAAATGTGCAATGCGAAACACGCACAGGTGAGGAAGAGAAGGAACCCTCTGGCGAAGCAGCCACTGGATCTGATGTCGAAGAAGAAAATAAATCGATTCATGTTTATCCTAACAAAAGCACCTATGAGGGGGGTTATCTGCATGGGAAGAAGTCCGGATTGGGCAAATTGACTAAGAGGAACGGCGAGTTCTACGAAGGTAATTAGACAAATCGGCGCCTCGAAAAGGAAAGAAGAGACGTATGAAACGTTACGGCAAGGGTTATGCGGTCCTTTTTTCCCTTTTTCCGCGTCTGCAACAACTCAGACGAACGTTATCTAATTTTTTTGCCTCTCCCCATTTTCTGTTGGCATCCATTTCTGGGGCACCCCTCCAAAAGGCAACTTCCAAAACGGACAAAAGCACGGAGTGGGGTTCCAACGATACTCCAGTGGCGATTTCTACTACGGAGAGTGGAAGCACAACAAGAAGGACGGCCGGGGCATTTACTTCTTTTCCTCCACCGGGGAATACGTGAGGCGGAGCGCTGTAGAACGTCATAGAGCGGAGTAGCAGTGTGACATGGCAAACATACGGGCTTGCAATCAGGCAGACGTTACATCGGCATTTATACTCCTACATGATGCCATTTTACACATCACTGTCGCTTTCTCATCATTGCTTCCCCTTCGCCGCCCCCCCTCCACTTCAGTACTTCGGCGAATGGTGCAAGGGAAGCCTCATAAGCGGGGTCTGGGTCATCTCCAGCGAAGCAAAATACATGGGGACGTTTTTTAGGAACCTACCAAAGTTCAAGGGAGAGTTTCTCTTTGCCAACGACTCAAAAATTAGCGTCTTTTACGAGCAGAGTTTGGGCATTTCCAGTGCGGATGACGGGGGCGCGGAGCGCGTGGGGCTGCACTGGAGGTCGCTCTAGTGGCACGGACGTGTGCGTGCTGGGAAGGTTTCCTATGTGCGCGCGGATGGATCGTTGGAGGTGCTTATCCAATCTGTTTTGCATCCTGTTTGCCATTCTTCTTGCCATTCTGTTTTTGTGATTTTCTTTCCCATGCTGTTTCGCTTTTTTTTTTTGCTGTGCCCAGTGGTCCACCTATCCTTCGCGCCAACTCCAAAACGAGACAAGCGCCCCCGTAGGGGATCACAACAGGGAAATTGCGCCGCCCGATTTGAATTATCCCCCTTTTGTAGTAAGTCACATTTGGGGAGATGGAAAAAAAAAAAATAAAATAAAAAAAAAAGTTAAAAAAAATAATACTAAAATAAACATGCTGAATGATCCTGTAGGAACTGCTAATCCGCATTGCACACAGTGATGTCGCTTGGGGGTTCTCCATTTGTCTAAAGAATCTTTCGCACACGTGTTCAAGGGAATGTGTTTGCATAGGAACATGAGGGGTTAGTGCCTCCTGGACTGATGCGCTCGCACGTATGTATATAGACTAGCGCGTATGCAATTTTGCCCAATCCTTTGTACGAACTGGCTTACACACTTGTCCGTCTCTGTCGCTTCTGTGCGTTTGTGTCCGTTTCTGCCGCTTCTTCCCCTTCTATGCGTTCCTGTGCTGATCAGCAAGATGACCACAAGACGGCAAAGAGACCCATCCCCCCAACTGTACGCATCAACAATAAGTGATGCCATAAATAGGTATTCGCTTATAAGGACTGGGGAGCATCATAGTGGGAGTTTCGAACTGGATCGAAATGGCTCAGACGAAAAGGACGTCGCGAGTCAGAGCGATTTGACATTTCTCCAGGATGACACATCCGACGAAGAAGGAGAGTTACAAACGTACACCTCGATAGTGCCTGGTAGGTTCCTCTGTCGATTTTTGGTCATCCCAGATTGTGTCCTCCCTGCGTCGCATGTTTTATCCCTTCTGCTCAACTCGTCTCTTTCCGCTTCATCACCTTAGCAGGTGGGACGAATGAATCCATACGGCGGAGGGCCACGAAAAGGGAATTCTCCCCCTATGGGTGGAGGGGAAAGATCAAAGGTAAGACCATCGCCCGTTTGAATGGTAAATATATCTGAGCATGCTTACACCAATGGAGTCCCCCCTTTGCGTGTAATCCCTATGGGATTCAAATTGGGGCATTCTACTTCTCTCCCCATATATAGAAGCACTCGTTTGACCACTTGCACTCTTTTCACCCCGGTGAAGGCTCCCCGAAGGAAATATCCATGGATGTGCTCCTAAATAAGAAGGCTGAACACGAAGCGGAGTGGACTAAACGTATTTTTAATATCCTTCTGACCGCGGAGGAGGAAAAGAAATCTAAGGACTACCAAGACGTCGTGAGAACAATTGAGCGTGAAGAGATAAAGGAGTTATTGTTATATCATTCTAAGGTAGTTCTGTCTGAAATTAGAAAGATATATAGAGTGTTAGGAGGTCTAGTGAATGGTGGTGACTGGGTGGGATGCAAAAGACCTTTGGATGTTTCTCCTCGTGAAGAAGAACCATTGCACAAGTTAAGAAGCAAAAAAGGGGGACCCAATTTAAGGGTTAAGAAATGGTACCTATTGAATCGGTACTATAGGAGGCTGTGCAGGATCTACGAGGAGGAGAATTCTCTTTTGCGGAGGTTATGCATGGGTAGTCCCGTTGGTGACGCAAGTGAGGTTGAAGCGGGATCGAAGGGGCACGACAAGAGAACCACGCAGAATATTTTGCGAAAATGCGGAATCACCTACGAAGGTTCGTGTATCTAAGTTAAGATAAAGACGCGTTGTAGGTGAACCCCCTTTTTTTTTATAGTAACACCTACACGACTGAAAAGATAAGTATTCCCCCCTTCTTTTTAGCTAAAATAGGGACAACTCTTCCGGTCCAGATAAAATCAAAATGGAGATGGATACGAGGTGAACTAAGAAGAGGACGTAAGCCCCGATTAAATAAAAGAAGAGATACTCGCATTTTCCGTTTTGTTCCCCATGTGGAAAGGGTGGAGAAGCAGCTGGACGGTGAATCCCTCGCGGATGAGAGAAGTGCACCCAATGGAAGGACGCAAAACAGTCAGGTAGAAGCGCCAAAGATTAGCACATCGAAGTGTAACGTATACGAGACGGAAGCGGAAGTGAGAAGCTCCAACGAAATGGCTGTGCCAAATGGTGCCACTGTTAACGACTGTCATGATGATGCAGCGATGGAGGTGGGGCTAAAAGAGGAAGAGGAGGAATGCACCCAAGGGTTTACTCAAGAGGAAGAAAAATCCAGTCGTCAAAATGGTGCCCTTATCGGGGGAGAAACATCAGGAACGGGTGTGAAAGCGTCAAGTGGGGGAGCCACCCGTATAGATGTAACGGTGAACGAGCAGAGTGAGCAGACCGGTGAAGCACCCGTGGAAGAGCACCCCGGGAAGGGGCTCAACGATGAGCTCGAAAAAAGGGATAATCATCTCAGCGCAGAGAACAGTAAGTTGGAACAAATGCACAGATCACATTTGGTTGAGTCCAATATGGACAAGAAAACTAAGTTAAAAAAAAAGAAAAAAGTAGCAGAAAGAACAGAGAAGGGAGAGAAGAAGAAGAAGAAAAAAAAAAATTTAAATGTCCAGCAGACAAATGTAGTTACTGAGAAGGAAGAGGAGATAGCAGGCGATCACTCCCTGGCGGACATCCTAGATAAAGCCACAGAAAAGACGAACGAGGGGGTAATTCTTTGTCAGGAGGTCTACCACGATTGCACTCATTAGTATGGCCTACAATAAGGATAAGGAGTGCTTGCGCTTCTGCTTCTCCTACTGTATTTTTTTTTTTTCTCTCTCCAAATGCGAGGAGGACATTTTACCATCTTTAACATGACTAATCCTTAAAATGACTCATCTTGGTTTGAACCCGTCAAAGGTGAAAGTATGCCCGCTCTGGAGAGTGCGTCGTGCGGAGTTTAGCGTATCTATTGGGTGGAAAAAAAAAAAAAAAAAAAAAGGATATCTGTGTGTGTGTGTGTCCGCCAGGCGCGTGTTGTTTTTACCTCACCTCTGTATACGTGTGCATTTGTATGGAAGCACTTGTGGAGTGCACACCTTGGAAGGACCTGGACTGTATCACCCTTGTAGAGGACGCGGCAGTCGTGCGAACCATCCTCGTTCTTGTTTCTCCCTTTTTAACGTGTTCCACGGGGAAAAAAAAAAAAACACACAACACAGAAAGACACAACAGCATAATGGCGTAACAACGGCATAACGTAAAACTCGTAGTAATGACGATTTCTAACTGAGTGCACACAAGTCCTCATGACACACGCTCTGAACGCACACGCGAAGAGAAAGAGAGCGCTTAAAGATGTGCACAGAGTCGTGTGGAAAGTCCCCCGCAACGCCGCGAGCACAGGCCAGGGAACCCTTCTGGAGGGACATTGTACGCATAGATAGGCTCATTTACGGGTACGAAAAAAAATTACAATATTGTAGCTATAAAAAAAGGCAGTGCTACAGGATCCTGTCGCTCTGGACCGACTATGACAGCTGGCTGAGTCAGACGTGCGAAAGGTATGCGTGGAAAGTACGTGCGCTGCGGAGCGTGCAGACAGGCTCGATGAGGAGTCCCACGCGTGGAGACAACAAATGTAGTAGCCGCATAAGTGACTGTGCCCCGAGGAGAACCCCATGTGGGGCATCAAGACACTACGGCCATTTAGCCAAATGGAGCTCCGTTCATGCTACGGTACGGGAACCGTTGCGTAAAAAAAGGAAGGAAACAAAATTACAGGGTGGGAAGCTACCGGGGGAGCAAACAGGGGTGAAAATAAAAGGTCAGAGAAAACCTCGACTAAAGTGTTCACGCAGAAGGGGTCACCCCTTTAGACGCGGTAATCCGAAGGTGGGGGAAGATGCTGAGGGAGGAGATCTAAAGCGGGGGCATTCCCTCGAGGGGGCGCAGACAAGACACAGGGAGGCATCGGGGGTGGATCGGCAACAGGAAGAGAAGGACGTGGAGGAAGCGGCTGAAAAAAATCGTAAAGACGGGACCGAAGACAATCGAGAGGAGCTATACGAGAATAAAGGGGAACTTCCAGCTGAAGCGGACAGAATGTGCAAGGAAACTGGGGGGAGGGAAGCAGACCGTTCGGAGGGGATTCACCGAAGTGGAAAAAGTACAATCGTTGAAAGGGAAGGTGCACATGAAGCAGTAGAGGAAGGAAAAACATTTTCAAGTCAAGAGGAAGAAAAGGAGGAAGAGACAGGACATTGTCAGATGGTGCACAAGTCTGTGGGTGAGAAAAATAAGAACAGCTTAGAAAGGGTGCCAAGTGGTATTGGGGGATGTCCCCATAAGATGGGGGCAGATGAGGAGAAGAAGAAGAAGAAGGAGGAGAGGAAGAAGAAGAAGAAGGAGGAGAGGAAGAAGGAAGAAAAGTGTAAGCAACATAACCTATTGGACATTTCGGAGGAGGATAAGCAACATGACGTATTGGACTTTTCTGAGGTGCTGGTGAGAGAAATTACATTGGAAGGAGGAGACATACAAGTGAGTGGAAGCCCCGAGGGGGGGCAACAACTGACAGAGGTGATGAAGGAGCCAGCAAAGGAGAAAAGAGCACGCGCAAAGGAGAAAAAGACGAAGAGTAAAAAGGTGGGGGATAAGATGGGAGATACAAAGGAAAAAATGGCGCGAAAGAGGGAGAGGAAAAAAGATAAGGCAAAAGGGATGGAAAAGGAGAAGCCTAAGCAGAAGAAGCCAATGATGGAGGAGGAGGAGGAGAAAGAAAAGGCATCGGAGGAGAATATGGCGAAAGCAAAGGAGAAAATGGACGATGAAGGAAAAGGGGTAAAGATGGAGGATGCTAAAGAGGGAAAGATGGAGAACGCAACGGAGGAGAAGTTGGAGGAAGTAAAGGACGCTAAGATGGAGGAAAACAGGAAAGAGAATATTGGGGATGAAGAAGACAAAGCGGCGAATGAAGGAAAGGAAGACAGTATAGAAGTCGAAAAGGAGACGACGCTGAATGAAGGGAAGAAAGACAATGTGGAAGGTAAAAAGGAGCAGAGGGAGGAGGAAGTTGAGGACTTGAAGGTAGAGAAAGAGACGGAAGAGGAGATTGAAAGTAAACGGAATGGGAAGTTGGACGTGGGGAAAGAGGCGACGATGCAGGAAGAAGGGGAGATGTATAAGGAGGAAGAGACGCAGATGAAGATGGAGGAAGAGACGCAGATGAAGATGGAGCCAGAGAACACGACGAAGCTGTCGGAAGACTCAAGCATCGGGAAAGTCACGAAGGAAAAGATCGGCGATGAAGGGGAGCAGAAAGTGGACGCGGAAAAGGAGCAGAATATTGGGGATGGAAAAGGGGTGAACTCTGGCGATGAGAAGGAGGAAAACCTTGGCGCCGAAAAACACGTCCCAAAAGCATTCGCAAAGGGTGAACCACAAAGAAGCGACCACGAGAACGAGCCGGGTAAGACAGCGGAGAACGAAATCGTCCATCATATTCTAAGCGAGTATTCCAACACAATTCAGTACACGAGTTTTCTCGATTACATAAAAAATAAGAAGTCCGAGTAGGGGCGAAGTGGAGAGGTGCACATGCGGAGAAGCGCCAAATGGCAGAATGGCAAAAAGAAAGCAAAGAAACGACGCGCGGAAAATCATGGGCGAGTCTACTGCGAGTTGGTACTACGTCCATACGGGGAAAAAAAAAATTAAAATTAAAAAAAAGAAAAAAAAAGAAGCCCATTTCAGTGGACACACACGTGGTATAGTCCCCCCCCCGCCGCCATCCACACCGCAGTGAAGTGATAAACGCTTCGTCAACAAACCTGCTTTGAAGAGAAACAGAAAGTTAGACAATCTTGTAAGAAGAATGAATGGCGACGATACCCATGGTCATACTCGAGTAGGAAATGTTCCGAAAAGAGTTTTGGTACATAAGCTGTGACAACTCATCAGGAGTTAAAAACGTCTGAATACTCTCCGCTAGATATTTGTAAGAATCTTCACTGCTTGCTACAAACTTTCCGAGCAGGGGAATGAAGTTGGATAAATAAGCATTATAGATCGGTTTGAAAAAGGCACAATTGACCTTACTAAATTCTAAGCATAAGAATCTTCCCCCAGGTTTCAGAACACGATGGATCTCTCTTAACGATTTTGGAATGTTCGTAAAATTTCGAATGCCAAAGGAGAGGGTAACAATGTCTATTGAGTTGTCGTCAAAGGAGGTTAAATTCTCTGCATTTTGAATTACCCATTTGATGTTGCTCTCGTAATTCCTTTCCTTTGCTCGTTTCTTCCCTACTTGGATCATGTCTCTATTCACATCGGCCACGATTATTTCGGGGGTGAACCTTGAGTAAACTTTATCGGGATGGCCTTGCCCCCCATGGGAAGAGCTTCCCTGGGTTATCTTCTCCAAAAAGTATTTGTACCTTTCTAATATTCGGAAGGCTATATCTCCTGTGCCTCCAGCTAGGTCTAATATTTTGCAGGTGGAACAATTGGCGCAGCTTTCCTCCCCTTCGTTTATTGCTTCACTCGGGTGTGCCCTTTGGTGCCTTGGAGCGCTGCCGGTTTGGCCTTCTCCGTCACGGAAGTAATTTCCCTCGCTGGGGGAGGTCTCCCCGTCGGAGGCCGCTTCCCACGATGCGGCTTCTTCCCCTTTCCTATTCTGACTTACACACTTTGCTTCCCATTTGTGAATTTCTTCCTGCATTTTGTAGCTATGATATTTTAAAAATAAATCCAGCTCTTTCACCAGCTGGTCCTTCCAACAGCGATGCAAGCGGAGACTCATCAAGTCATTCATCAGGTCGTATTTGTTGGACACATGGCTGAATAAGTTGTAAACGAGCTTTGACTTTATCTCTTCTGTGACTTTTTTGAAGCCGAAGTTGTACAGCCCTGCGAGGGGAATTGGAAACGTGGGGAGGGAGCAGCATGACTCAGCCATTTTCACACACGGTGGGGGGGCGAAGAAGGAAGAAATAAGAGAAAATAAGAAAAAATAGGGGAAATAAGAAAAAATAGGGGAAATGAGAAAAATAAGACAAATAAGAAAAATAGGGCCAAATAAAGAAAAATGCGAGAAAGTGTGAAAAAATATGGAATAAGATATGAACCGGTCAGGCGAATTGCAGCGTTGCAAGAGGAATCACAAATCTGCGAGTACATCTGCACACACTTGTGAATCGCCTATGAATAGTAAAGATGCCCCCAATGAGGACCCCCCTAATGGGGACATAGAGCTTTACTTTCACCGCTGCCATAGGAGTCACTCTCTGTGCTAAAGGACTTCAGTCCTGTCCTTAAAATGGCCCCCAGCCTTCTCTCCCTGAAATACCCCCCATGGAGGGAGTGGCAAAACTGCAAGACTTTCATTGTGTTGCGGTGGTGATGTGATGTGTCTGGAGCGGGGGAGGAGAAGACGAACCTCCGATGAGTCTCTCCTTTTCGAGGCAATCCTTAACGTGGTTTTTCAAAGAGTGGGAGCGGGGGACAGACAGAGCGACATGGCTGAAGGTGAATCCGTTCCTTGTCGTGTAACCCTAAAAGGTGCTTCATCAATTTGGTTTCTTGGCAACATAAGTGGTAATGGGGTGAGGAAGTAAAAGATTTGGAGTAGGGGAGATATTCTCAGCAGTGTACTTTATTTTATTTTGTTTCATTTTACATTTCTGGACGATAAACCGACTAAGCGTCAGTTAAAAAAAAAAAAAAAAGGTATTGTCGCCTTCCTGATGAAAAAATGGATGGGGAGAAAATGGAAAAAATTATGATACGCGTATCACTTCCTTTTTCATTCACGCGTGGCTGGGTGGATCGCAACTCTGACCACAAGTTTATGTAGGTATGTTTTTTTCTGTTGAACTTTCGAAGGGACTGATGTGTGCTGCGTTATTTTCCTAGGCCTGCTCGCGCCAGCATGGCAGCACGTTGTAGGGCGCAAGGGGTGCTTCTTGGGAATAGCGGCGTAGGAGAGGGGGAAGAAGCAACGGTAAGGAGCATGCCCTAAGGGGAAGAGCCCAAACGGTATCGAAGAAGTACGAAAAGGTTATGGAAGCGGTACGAAAAGATTATGCAAGCGGTACGAAAAGGTTATGCAAGCGGTACGAAAAGGTTATGCAAGCGGTACGAAAAGGTTATGCAAGCGGTACGAAAATGCTATACAAACGCTGCGCCAACGACATGCAGACGTACGGAACGATACTGAGACACCTCGGCGCAGGTACAAACCGGTCGATGCGCAGAAGAGCGAGCAGTGTTTCTTACGGCTACCTAAACCTAACCGTCAGTGACAAAATTCTGCCCTACGTGGAAGGGCTAAAGAAGAAGATAATATACGTCAGCCGTTTCAAAGACTGCAAAGAGTACGTGCAGGAAATTCAAAAAAATGTCCAGGATGGAAAATTAAATTGTATCGGTCTGGATGTAGAAGGATATAAAATAGGGAGAAACGGCACAGTAAGTCTTGTACAAATATGCGCACAGGAGCATGTGTACCTCTTCGACGTTTACAAATGTGATAATACATACTTGTTCATGAAATGTTTAAAGGAATTACTGGAAGATCGACGAGTTGTAAAAATTACACATGACTGCAGGGAGGACTGTTCGATTTTGTTCAGCCAGTATAGCATTTGTCTTAACAACATATTTGACACGCAAGTAGCTTTCAATTTACTTTTGAAGCAAACGAAAAAGGACCTGTATCAAATAAGTTACGACGATTTACTATATAAATGCTTATTCTTAAATAATAAGCACAAAATATATTTTCATAAAATGATTTCTCTTAATCAGAAGATATATTTGAAGAGACCCATAGCGAAGGAACTTATCCATTATGCCATCCAAGATGTCATATATTTAAAGCCGCTCATGTTGAATTTGGTGGACAGACTACTCCGTGTGTGTAAAGACGGTGAGGGAGGAAGTGAGACGAGAAGTGAGGCTGGGAGTGAAACAGGAAGTGAGCCATTTGGTGAAGAGGACTGGAACAGCATTCAAAACAAGGATGATGTGATCAGTGAAGGGGCACACAACAACCTAAGTGAACATAAGACTAACTTAATAAAACGTGTTGCAAAGCTGAGTGAGAGGTACATCAACTACCAGTTTTTAAACACTCATGTTAAAAATGAGAAAGAGCTACAGAAGGGAATGACCCTCGATGGCATGATCGTCTCCTGCAACAATTTAAACCTATACGTCAAGTTGAATTTGAGCAGGAGGGGCGTCATAACGAACTGTCTGAGGAACGAATTCGAAATCGGGGACGTCATTAAGTGTGTAATCCTCGGGTTTTGCAATAATGATTACATCAAACTGGGGTTGTGCGACCCGTCCCTGTGTGTGGTGACGCCTGAAGTGGGGCGGTAAAATGGGACTCACCCGTTCCTGTCCGTTGGCTCTGTACAGGCCCATGCGCGCGTTTGGAGCACCACGGGCATTTTTCGCCCACGAAATTTGGTATTTGTTGACGCATTTCGTTTGATCGATATGAAGCAGCACCGTTTGATTGTCATTTTTTGGGTTTTTTTTTTTTCCTTTTTATTTATGTCTTTTTTTTTTCTTTTTTGCTAAATTCCCCCGCAAGCCTACCTGTGTGCACATATTTCCTTCTTTGAAAGTCTGCCCCCTTTTTTGTGAAACGATCGTTTTAGACTGAACGCACAGAAGGTAACACGGTGAAGGAGTCGTTTGTCGTTTTGAGGAAAAAGCGACCCACTTCACCAATTGGTGTAGTGACAAATTGGCAAAGTGGACATATGAATATGTCAAGATAACTGTAGTGACATAATGATTGGACGGGAGGGAAAAAAAAGCTCCCCAAATTGCCAATTTTGCGTAAATTGCCTGAACTGTTCATATTATTTTTAACAAATTATTGCTGTTCAGGTAAAAATTGGAAAACAAAAAAATAAATAATCACAAAGGACAACAGGTAGTTATGGATGCCGTATGCTAAGCATGTCGCGGTGTGAAAGCTGCTGCGATGGGGGAGGACTACTGGGGGAGTTTTATAATTTTCCCACGTTCGGCTGCATTCTCCTTCGTTTGTTTTTCCTTTTCACTTTTAGACATCTCCCGTTTGGGTTGAATGCCTAGGGGAGGTTAAAATTTGCATCGCTGAAATTGAGTCCTCAATTGCGCCCCCTAAAATTGCATCCTCATTCGTGCATGCCTCAATTTTGCGCTGCTCAATTCTGCGCGCTGCAATTCTCCACTTTTGCATTTTTTCCCGAATGCCGCGCATTGCTTAAAGGAGCCCGTCAATTATTCTACTTTTTTTTCTTTTTGCGCTTGTGCAAAGCGTAAAAGTGATATTCGCACAAAAGGAAGCACATGACAGCCGCCATTTTGTGAGGAGCGAAAGAATGAATGAGCATGTACGTAGCTCAGCTTGTGGCACTCAGCACGAGATATGGGTGCACCTCTGCGTGCTTTTCTTACACGTGGGTACATCACTGGTGCATGCATGCTTCGCCAACCTTCGCGGATACGCACGAATGAGGATGCGCGAAATGGGGCTACCGCTTCAAGGCACGTGCTTTCATTTTGGAAAAGAATGGACATAATTCGTCTCTCAATAAAATTTAGGGAGGAACCGCTCTGGTAAAGCTACACCTCGTTTTGGCCTGTTAACGTGGTTCCTACTGTGTCGAATTGTATTGGTTATATTATTATTACTTTTTTTTTTCTTAACTTTTGTTGTATAAGCACAGAACGTTGGTCAGTAATCAGACAGTTTGCAATTTTATCCGACCTGGTTTTCACTTTTCATGCTAATACTACGTACGTTTCGCAGTTTGTGTAAAGGCCACAGGTGTACCGGCGTGTATGTCACACGAGCATTTGAGCAGTATATAAGGTGTGAATTTTTTTCCTTATTTTTCTCTTTTATTCCACCCGTAACTGCGCTTATTTATTTTTTTGTTGCCCGGGGGGTTAGTGGATTCTAAATGGAAGTTACACAGCTGGGTATTTAAAAGCGCGCCTCTGCATTTGGGCAATTTGCGCAACATGCACAACATGCGCAACATGCACAACATGCGCAACATCCATAACTTAGTTGCATTCGCGACTTTACGCTAACTCCACACGTAGGCGGTGTCCTCCTTCCTTTCTTGCCACTCCTTTCGTTCTTTGTTTTCTTATTTTCGCGGGCGAAAAGAGTGCAACGTGCTCTACACCCATTTACGCCGCCTGCGGGGAGACTGATAAACAAATGCGTGCAGGTGCAATTTGCCTTTTCCATTTCATGTTAGCTTAAGCGCTCAGCCAAGCACAGAAGGGGGAAGAAGAAGTACCTTCCCGGATCACCCACTTGGATTAGTACTCTTCCTAAACGGGAAATAAGAGCAGCGCACGGAAAAAAAAAAGTACGGATTCAAGGGGTGCAGAAGATACAGATGAAAAAAAGGAACTTGGAAAGCCCACATATGGTGAGGAGGCGCAAAATATAAACGCCTTGAAAAAGAAAAATAAAAAGATTACCTGTTGCGAGGTCGCCTCACACCATTATATGAGAACTAGCCAAAAATATTTGAATTCATATACCCGCCCCAGCTGGTCCCGCTAAGAAAAAAAACACTACAGTTGGGGAAAATACGCCTCTTCAAACCGCAAAAAAAAAGAAGAAAAGTAAAAGTACCTGTGCGTATTAGTAAATTCAAAGAAATTTTCTACGCATATCAAACGAAAGGAAGAAATGCCTTTTCAACGCATGGGGGGGAAGAGCTGAATTGCAGGAAAAAAAAAAAACGAAAAAGAAAA